CTATCTCAGTTCGATACTTAAAAGCAATGTCATTATTTAGCGTTGACAGAATTTCTAACTGTGATATAGATATGTCGTTGTCACAGACAAAATTCAATGTCTTGTTTTATTGACACCTGTGTGTCTGCCTGCCTGTCTGCTAATGACAATATTCAATACACAACTGCGATCACTGACCACATGCAATTTGAACTTAACACCAATCAGACTGTACACCATAAACAAAACGCATTGATTTATGGCCCGAGTTCGGTCTCTGTCACATTATGTAATTACACAGACAGGTAGGTGTGATACTTGAACACATGACATGTTTTGATGTCTGTTGATTGCAAAATGTTATACACAAAAAAATGAGCTTGTATTTACAAAACCCAACATCTCTATATATACACACACAATGAGCCGTGAAGGCGGCATCTGCAAATGAACCAGCCATTACACTTGAGTGCACACCCACCCGTTCTGACTGGGTTCGGTATCCCGGCTGCTTCGTTTCGAGGGAGGTAAACCCAAGTACAAAATATTGCACTTTTGATTTGCGATTATACGCTTATAATTTTGTTTATTTGTTTTTTCATAATCAGCAATGTATATTATATGTCATGAAGAAGTGATAATTGTGTTTTAATTATGTTTGATTTTTTTGGTTGCATGTGACCTTTAACTTTGGCTTCCAATGGTGAAACCATGATAGAATCCATTCTTGAAATCTAAATTCCCATATTAAATCAGGAGCTGAGTACTAGTACTATACAACGTACTATTGCGGGAACAAAGGTTGAAAACGACTGGCACGAATCTTGGAGCACTGACAAATACTCGAGATCCACGAGCAAACACTGCGAAACCTCAGCCATTCAGCAGATTGTCCGATTTCATATCACTGGGAGGTTCATGCAAACTATCCTAGGGTGCCCCCAAACCCTCTATGTACTTTATCAACATACTTATAAGCTCGACATGATAAGTATATATGTTGACATGAATCGACACAAAAGTAGTGAATACCCATTGGGCGCCAGTATTTGCCTGTGCTCTAACCACGTTTATTCATGTATATTATTACATGAATATATTCAATATATTATCCCAAGTCCATGGTGTGATGTTATTGAACTAAGTATCATATTCAGGGTGAAATTTGGATTCAAACCTCTAGTCGTTTCTTTGAGTACGTTGAGGGCGTTTCATTGTTATGCGTAACGACCAGTGTAATTGATGTACGTCATAGCAGATGTCGTAGTTTAACATAACGACTAATGTCACATATGTACGTAACGACTAGTGTCATACGTACACGTACCAGTTATCGTAAACGTTATACGTAGCGACCAGTGTCACAGTTATACTTAACGACCAGTGTCAAAGTTATACTTAACGACCAGTGTCAAAGTTATACTTAACGACCAGTGTCATAGTTATACTTAACGACCAGTGTCAAAGTTATACTTCACGACCAGTGTCAAAGGTATACTTAACGACCAGTGTCACAGTTATACTTAACGACCAGTGTCAAAGTTATACTTAACGACCAGTGTCAAAGTTATACTTAACGACCAGTGTCATAGTTATACTTAACGACCAGTGTCAAAGTTATACTTAACGACCAGTGTCAAAGGTATACTTAACGACCAGTGTCAAAGGTATTCTTAACGACCAGTGTCAAAGTAATACGTAAGGACCAGTGTCATACTTATACGTAGCGGCTGGTGTCAAAGTGGGGCGTTTTCCTCGAAAACATGATACTGTATTGAATTGGGTTTGCCAAATCGTATGCTTATGAGTCCGTGCACACAACCTTCTGGTTATCAATCCCTGCACACATTAAACCTCCGGCTATCAATCCGTGCACACATCAAACCTTCTGGCTATCAATCCGTGCACACATCAAACCTTCTGGCTGTCAATCCGTGCACACATCAAACCTTCTGGTTATCAATCCCTGCACACATCAAACCTTCTGGCTATCAATCCGTGCACACATCAAACCTTCTGGCTATCAATCCGTGCACACATCAAACCTTCTGGCTGTCAATCCGTGCACACATCAAACCTTCTGGTTATCAATCCGTGCACACATCAAGCCTTCTGGCTATGAATCCGTGTACACATCAAGCCTTCTGGCTATCAATCCCTGCACACATCAAACCTTCTGGCTATCAATCCCTGCACACATCAAACCTTCTGGCTATCAATCCGTGCACACATCAAACCTTCTGGTTATCAATCCGTGTACACGTCATACCTTCTGGCTATCAATCCCTGCACACATCAAACCTTCTGGCTATCAATCCCTGCACCCATCAAACCTTCTGGCTATCAATCCCTGCACACATCAAACCTTCTGGCTATCAATCCGTGCACACATCAAACCTTCTGGCTATCAATCCCTGCACACATCAAACCTTCTGGCTATCAATCCGTGCACGCATCGCGTCAGCCAGCTATCAATCCGTGGGCACTTGGCATACTAAACAAAAGTTATACTTAACGACCTCCATCATAGTTATTCACCACGGCTGGTGTCGTAGTTAAACATAACGAATGGTGTTATAGTTACAGATAGAGATTTATGTCATATACACATAACGATTAGTGCCATTGTTATATATAACGACTAGTGGCATAGTTGTACTCGTTGTGATCATTTGACCAGCATGCGAGATTCGTGATGAGTCGTGTCCTACGGACTAAGAACAGCCCAGAAGAACGAACTGACCACTGACCAGTGTATCCTTGGTTATGGGGTGTAAAGCGCCTTGCGATCGATGATGAAACGCGTTGATTAATTGTGACACGTAACATGACCTACAATAATCCATTCGACATGGTTTCCACTTAAGGAGACATGTTCCTTCAAGGCATCCAACGGTAAAAAAAAATGATAAAATACATGATGTACATGCAGTAAGCATCTCTCACGAGAGAGTTGAGATGTTCTTGCCCCGGTGGGTGTTTCAGCACTCTGGGCTCCAAGGCTTCATCAGAAAAGCTCCAGAATTTATGTAGCCTTGAAGTGAGTGAGTTTAGTTTTACGCCGCACTCAGCAATATTCCAGCTATATGGCAGCGGTCTGTAACTAATCGAGTCTGGACCAGACAATCCAGTGATCAACAGCATGAGCATCGATCAATTGGGAACCGATGGCATGTGTCAACCAAGTCAGCGAGCCTGACCACCCGATCCCGTTAGTTGCCTCTTACGACAAGCATAGTCGTGGCAAGCATGGGTTGCTGAAGACCTATTCTACCCCGGATCTTCACGGGCATGTTCCCTTGAAGCTGACCCAGATGACGTTGTTGTGGGATTTAGACCCATAGATGAATGTTGGTTTTAGATACCAAACAACACTCAAAGCAGTGGAACCATCTAACGTCTCCTCCTCCGAAAGATACAGAGTCTGTTAGATCTGTTGACAATGAGCTGGTTGCGGTTTTCTGGGATTGCAAAGGAATCCCACTGCCAGAAACTACCATTTCACAAACAACTAGCATAACCACACTTGTTTGTGATTCATAAACATGTGTTCATGGTTTTGTCGGAGCGTACAATGGAATTGGACAAGTTCGTGTGATTCAGACTTCAGAAGCTATCAGAATAAGGTCAACCGGAAAACCGTGTAGTGGGGTGAAAAGGTAAAGAATGAAACGTGTTCTATCTACTGGGTTCTTATCATATTCAGTGATGAATGCAAGGTATGTGTGGGCATTGACAGCCGTGTCAAAGTTTGGAGAAAGGTTGCCGAAGAATATAGCTGGGTGCCTGCATCTGCCCGCCATCACGCTAAAATTTTGAACTGATGACTGACTGACTGACTGACTAAGTTTGGCTTTACGCCGCTTTTAGCAATATTCCGGCAACATCACGGCGGGGGGACACCAGAAATGGGCTTCACACATAGTACTCATGTGGGGATTTGAACCCGGGTCTTCGGCGTGACGAGCCAACGCTTTAACCACTAGGCTACCCCACCGCCCCTTTGAATGATGATTTGCGGATGCTTTAAAGTTGTCTACACAGTGAGTCGTGTCGAGGGTGAGATCACTGCACTTAAGTGAGTGAGTGAGTGAGTTTAGTTTTACGCCGCACTCAGCAATATTCCAGCTATATGGCGGCGGTCTGTAAATAATCGAGTCTGGGACCAGACAATCCAGTGATCAACAGCATGAGCATCGATCTGCGCAATTGGGAACCGATGACATGTGTCAACCAAGTCAGCGAAACTGACCACCCGATCCCGTTAGTCGCCTCTTACGACAAGATAGTCGCCTTTTTATGGCAAGCACATGGGTTGCTGAAGACCTATTCTACCCCGGATCTTCACGGGTCTGCACTTAAGTACATGGACATATTTAGTGACACTATGTGGACAGTTATTGTCCGTCATGTTAAAAACAATGGACCATATCTTCTAGGACGACAATGCACGTGTACATCGGACCTTTACCTGCAGAAATGCTCTAAAAAGTCTTACCTAGCCTGACTAGTCTCCAGACTTGAATATTGATGTGTAGTGGAAAAACCAAAAAGAAGTCCAGAAGAAAAAACACAGGATAAATAGTTTCGCAGGCTTGGGACATGAAATCCAACTTTTCTGTCTATCGAATGCATTCGCCCCCTCTACAACAGCTTCCCGAGCATCTACTACGACTAATCACACCTGAAGGTCATGTTATCAGGTACTGGGGTTGATGATTGTTTTATACATATATATTAAATTGATTTTTAAAAACTTAGCAAGCGAATCGCACTTTGACGGCCGCCATGTTGATTTTCCGAATACTTATATTGGAATTATGGTTAGGGCTCAGTTCATTTACCTGTATCTGTTATAAAAAAATGTCACGATAGTAAAGTTAAACTGACTGACATACTTATCAAGACTTCGTGGAATGAGATGAGTGTTTGTCAGATCGATTCATATTCAAGACAAACCACGTACCTCAGTTGACACCAATACAAAATCAACGTTTGGAAATAAACTGTAAATATCTTACCTCAGTTTGCGATATCTCTCAACGCCTTACGTAACCACAGCTTGCTTAACCATGCAGACGGCTGTATTCGGGTGTGCTGTTTTTGTATTCCATGAACGCAGAAATCGATAACATGTCCTTGAGGCAGACTGAGGTGAGGTGAGGTGAAATTGGGTTAAACGTCGTGCTTGAGAATATTTCGCTCATATGACGACGTGCATGCGTGTGTATGTGTATGTGCGGCTGCTTGTACTAGCCCAGACTTAAGCTGGTTTTATAGTGCTAGCCCACTGAGATACCATGCCGCAGTGTAGCATGAATACCCCACTCAGACACATTATACTGACTCCGAGCCGACCAGTCCCTGTTGTACCCATTAATGCCGAACGCCAGGCAGGGACCAACAAATACCATATTTTAACGTCTTTTGGTATGACGCGGTCGGGGATCGAACCCGCTCTCCGGGCGGACGCTCTAACCACTACACCATGGAGGCGGTCTGAGGCAGACTGACCTCAACGTGGACTGTCGCATGTGAAAGTGAATTAAACGTTTAACCAATGGAGTTAGTGTTTTCACCAAGACATGTTAATGAAGGCGAAAACAACAGTTCCAGAAAGGTTCAAACAGATCAAGTATCAGTCATTGATTACCATTCTTGGCTCGTAGCCTTGCTGTGCATAACATGTTTATATGTTGCTTAAGAACTTAAGTTTTACACTAAGAATCATAAACATTAACAAAAACAATATGAATTAACAGTATTGTGAATAAACATGGCGTACACGACTTTTAGCTATTTAAAAAAATGTTACGAGGGGACATCAGAAACGGGCTTCAATTATTGTACCCATTTTGAAATCGAACCCAGCGTCACATGTGAACACTAGAACCACTGGCTTCCTCACCGCCCCTTATTATTATAAACAGGCATGGTCCCAGCTGTTAGTGTTGGGCACGGGGGCGGTGGGGTAGCCTAGTGGTTAAAGCGTTGGCTCGTCACGCCGAAGACCCGGGTTCGAATCCCCACATGGGCACAATGTGTGAAGCCCTTTTTCTGGTGTCCCCCGCCGTGATGTTGCTGGAATATTGCTAAAAACGGCGTAAAACCAAAGTCAGTCAGTAAGTTGGGCACGGATGTTCCAGTGGGTTTATGCGCCCAAACTTCACTGTGACGAGTTGTGTTTCTGGAGTACCAGAATGCACTGCATTGGGGTTAAATTTCGAATTGATCAGATTATGGTCCTTGGAATTTGTGGATTACTAAAATTGGTACGTGTCAAAGGAGATCCGGGTTACGACTGGACTTTCTCAGCCCATGCTTGGATTGTCATTGATGGTCGGGTTCGCTGACTTGATTGATGCATAACATCTTATACCAGGGGCGGTGGGATAGCCCAGTGGTTAAAGGGTTCGCTCGGCACACCGAAGGCCCGGGTTCGAGTCCCCATATGGGTACAATGTGTGAAGTCCATTTCCGGTGTCCCCCGCCGTGATGTTGCTGGAATGTTGCTGAAATCAGCGTAACACCCAACTCACTCTCTCACTCACTTACTCTTATAAAGTCTGAGCAGAGTGATGTCAATCACTTGATTGTCTGGTCTCGTTATTCACAAAACGTTAAACAACGGCGGAAAAACATTATTCATGCTTTTGTCCATTTGTTTGATTCGCCGCGAATAGCTCCAAAATTACTGATGCGGCGTTAAGTAATACTCACTCACTCACTTACTCATGTTTGAGAACATTTGAGTGTGTCGCCTGAACACGTCATCAGTCAGTCAGCCCACCTGTTCGGCTGGGTGTTATGTTGATATAGCACGGTTGTACAATGATTGGTCTACGCGATGACAGATATCTCGCTGACATACATTTCGCCCGTATCAAAGTGCACGATGACTCGACAAAGTTGACCACAGATTTGAACCTCGGTATCTCGAACACGTCTTATGTCGAAACAAATGTGGCTTTATCTTTAACGACAAACATGTGCTCACTTTTTTTGTATGTAATGATAAACCTTTCGTATGTAGATAAAACTTTAATGATTAACCTTGAACATGATCCACAAGGTAATCGGTAACGGAAAGATAGCCCAGTTGTTCATGAGGTCGTTCGTCACGCCAAGGACCTGGATTCGATTCCCTGTGTGGGGGCAATATATTAGCTCCATTGTCGTTTCCCTTAACGTGAAGCGGGTAGAAAATAGCAAAAAGCGGCGCAAAAACTAATTCACAAAGCCCACTGCGAAGCTTTAGAATTAGAACTTAAGAATTGGTCCCATGCTTGTGAAAAGAGACGACTATCGTGGTCTGGTGGTCAAGTTTGGTGACTTGGAAGCTGGATTTTATTGTGTTCCATTTACTTAAACCGATGACCATGATGTTGACCATGATGTCAATGATTGGATTATCTCAAAACTGAAATATTAACTCACCGACTTCATAAAGCTGGAATGTTGAAGAGTGTTGTCTTCAACAACAAACAAACTCTTCATTGCTTTGCGTCAGGGTCCTGGGGCATAGCATAGGAGTTGCATGACACGCTTGTGTTTGTCTCACAGTCCCTGAACCACATTATTTCCCCCAGTGCCTTGACCTCCCTGCAATGCTAAAGCCCTAAATGAAGCAAGTCTAGATTTCCCTCAACTCACTTGGGCTCCTTTTTAATTTGAATGGGTTTATTTGTTACTATCAAAATTATATATATTCAGGGACTAAACGTTAGTCTAGTGGTTTGTGTGGAGTCCAATTTGACATATATACATAAAACCTATGCTATCGGTTTCGGATTGTCTGGACCAGACTCGATTATACATAAACCGCAGTCGACCAGCTTCAGTTGTAACTGAGTGCGGCGTTAAACAACAACGACAACATTCACACTGGATTCTTGAGGCTTTACGTATAATCGTGTATCACAACACCGTCCATGGCACTCTTATATTGGGAGTAAGTCGGGGTAAAGTAGGGGTGAAGTGGTGTAAAGTAAATTAGGAGTAAAGAGCGGAGACCTGTAGCGGGTGAAACTGCTGGTGTCTAAAAATCCATTGTTTGTTCTCAAGTCCAGTGTAAATATTTTACCAAACAATATTGAAAAGATGGAGAATATTTGAAACTCATTCTGTTAATACACATGCGATATCTATTCTACACATGATAAAAGTTCTACCAGCAAGGAATACCGCATAGTTACATTACAAATGGAACGTGCGACAAAACAAAAATACAATAAAACGTCACTTGAGATTTCAATTGCTGCTGATGAAAGATGCTCTATACAGATGCCAGTCACAACTATGGAAACCAATCGGTTGTGTTCAAAATCATCTCATTTGTCAGTAGAAAGTCCAATGAAACGTAATGTAACCTGAAAACGATGTTCTCAAGCCCTTACTCGCGAGATAAAAATGCTGCACAGAGAATGATGAATACACCTGCCTTTTAGCAAATGGGCAAAGCAATAAGTGCATGTTTTGGATTACACTTTCTCTGTAACGTACATATTCTAGTGTTTTGTGTGCTGGCGAGTAGGTGCCTCACTCTGAAAGTGTGCGTTTGAATCCCGGATGGGACTCGACCCAAGAGAGAACAAGAATCTACTTCAGTATCCAATATTCTAGCATCAATTGGTTTGAGTCCTAAATCGCCAGCACACAAAGCTAGCGATCCAATTCACTCTACCAAAGCGGCTTTCACAAAACTGTGACAACAGATCATGTTTCCAGATTACCTCCCCGACAAATGTAGATTGCCATGGATACCGCTGGCGAAGCAATGAACACACACTGCATTTTAGAAAGTTGTCAAATGAAACAAATGTATCCCGTCTACTGACTATTCAGTCTGATGAGTCGAATATCCCGTCTACTCAGTATTCCTTCTAATAGGTCCTGTACTGCGTCGCTACTAAGAAGTCGAGTGTCGCGTCTACTGAATATTCCGTCGGATGAGTCGAGTATCCCGACAAATGAGTCAACGATGAGTGAGTGAGGTTTACGCCGCTTTTAGCAATATTGCAGCAATATCACAGTGGGGGAAACCGGAAATGGGCTTCACACATTGTACCCAAAACAGTTTTCGGCGTGACGAGCGAACGCTTTCACCACTAGGCTACCCCACCGCCCCTCGCGTCTTCGTAGTATCGCTACTAATAAGTCGAGTATCTCCTCTACTGAGTATTCTGTCTACTGAGCTGTGTATCTCGTCTACTGAATATTCCGTTTGCTGGACCGAGTATCCACTCTACAGAGTTTCCGGTCTGCTTAATATTCCGTCTACTAATAATCCGTCTAATAAGTCGAGTGTCCCGTCTAGTGAGTCGAGTGTTCCAACTACTGAGTCGTGTGTCCAGTCTACTGATAATTCTGTCTACTGAGCGACCCATGTACAGAGCTGAGTATCTCGTCTACTAAATATTCCGTTTACTGGACCGAGTATCCACTCTACAGAGTTTCCGGTCTGCTAAATATTCCGTCTACTAATAATGCGTCTAATAAGTCGAGTGTTCCGTCTACTGAGTCGAGTGTTCCAACTACTGAGTCGTGTGTCCAGTCTACTCAGAATTCTGTCTACTGAGCGACCCATGTACAGAGCTGAGTATCTCGTCTACTGAATATTCCGTTTACTGACCGACTATCCACTATACTGGTTTCCTGTCTGCTAAATATTCCGTCTAATAAGTCAAGCATTCCGTCTGGTGAATATCCCATCTACTGAGCTAAGTACCGATATAATGAACATTCAGGCCACTGTACCCAGCCTACCACACTGATTACTCAAGTGTATTTACTTGACAGTGTCCTCAAGTGTGTTGAGTAGATGCGTCACGCAAGTCAGAAAAGCCGTCCTATTTCTAGTCCACCCGATATGTCAGCATAACACGTTACAGGGAGACTGTCTGCATACTAGACATGTCATACTGACTTACGTAGACCCCCCGCAGTAGTACTTTGTTCAGCACCCATAACCTGGTTCAATGCTTGTTCTATATCATTACAGTGCACTGACGCATCTGTGCCCTATGCATACTTTAGTGCATTCAAATGCTAGTCATACAAATATATACTTGTACTGTGAGGTTATTTTAATCT